CGCCCCGTCTTCCCCCCACAGGCAAACTCGCCGAGGACGGAGCCGCCAGCCCCTGCAGCGCGATCCGCACCAACTTCAGCACCAAGCAACTGACGGAGCTGGAGAAAGAGTTTCATTTCAATAAGTACTTACCGCGAGCCCGACGCATCGAGATAGCCAATGCCTTGCAGCTGAACGACACCCAAGTCAAAATTTGGTTCCAGAACCGGAGGATGAAACAGAAGAAGAGGGAACGAGAAGGGCTCCTGGCCACGGCCAGCCCCGTGGCCTCCTTCCAGCTCCCCCTCCCAGGGAGGAGCCCCACCAAGCCAGGCAAGCGCCCCCCGAGCCCGTCCCAGGCCCAGGAGCCTTCGTGAGCTCAGCTCTGGCGGCTGACAGCCGGAGGAAGTCAAGGCCGGGCCCAGGTCGGGAAACGTCCAGCTCCGCCGGGCCTGGGGGTGAGCTGGGCAGAAGTTCACAGGGGTTTCTCATGGGCAAAACCACATTTCCCCCTTTGGCTTCTGAGTTGCCGCCAGTGTGTGTACAGAAATTCATTTGATGCCTCTTAAGCCACTTGTTTGAGCGTTGCTTGTGACTTTTATCCGGAAAAAGGTACCAGCCCATCCCTCTGCTAATTTGCCGAACTTAGTCTTAGGCAGTTCTGTGGGTGGTGAGGGGCGCAGCCTCCTCGTAAGCTCACAGGAGCATCCGTCCAAAGTTCGCCTGTTTTTGTTTTCCTTGAAAGGATAAGGCAACATGTATTCAGCTTCCCGAGGCGACCAAAGCTAATTAAGAGCTCCTTGAAGTTGCTTCAATGAGCTGCTTCAATGGTGATCTCCACCTTTGTACTCTTTTCCCTTTAAAAAGCAGTTTCTACCTCTCCATGTGCCTGAGTGAAGATACAATCACTAGTTAGTAGCTGAACAAACTCACAGGGTGGGTAAATATTGCAACCTGAACTCTACCTTGACCTCAGTTGCCCAAACTTGAATGTAAATATATACAGTATGTATATTTTTTAAACAAAAGATTTGCTTGCAACAAACTTAATATGTGACATTTAATGTCATAGCATGTAAACGGTTTGAATTTCTTTTTTGTAATAAAAATTACAGAACCTGCTACTCTCTGCTTTTCCTGGTACTGCTTTCAACCTGCTTCTCTTCCTTAAAACTGATTCCATTTCCCCTCTCTGGCGTGTCCTGATGATTCTGCTTTGGGAATTTGCCTCTGCTGATAACTTTTTAAAATGACACTCCTTACAGGTGGGCTGTCCGTACGTACACACAGCAAGTCAGGGTCAGTTATTTGAGCACTTCAAGGAAGAAAGCAACAACGCTGTCAAATATCCAAGTCACTAAGGAAGCCCCTTCCTCACTTTAACTGCCCCTGTTTTATGGTGGGTTCAGAGACTGCACATTCAGGCAAGGGCTAGGTGTCTCCTGTGGCAATGCTGTAAAGCTAAGGAGACACTTGTTCTTTGAGGGAGAGCCACTTGTCCTTTTGCCTCCTTTCTTCCCAAAAGGAGGAGAGGTGACCTGAGGACTTTGCTCCCAGGCTAATGCTCTCCGGAGAAAGGCAGCTGGACATAAGAAAGCTCTCAGTTGAATTCTCATTTTCAAAGTCAAGAATTACCAAGGGGGCTGGGAGAGGCCATCTGAGCTTTGCACTTCCTCTAACCCCCTCCCCCCCTCCCACTGAGCCTCCGTCTAAGAGAGAGCATCACGGCCTTGTTTTTATAAAAATAAAATATTTTCAAATCCACTCATCTGGAACAGCCACAAGCACAAAATGGGCCAGATGGCCCAAAGGTCTGTGATAGCCTGTCCTATAACCAAGCTTCCAGGTTAGCCCTTCCACACCCCCTAGCTCTCCTCCTTAGAAGTACCATAGTTGACCAGGTGTTTGTGAAACCTGACAGTAATAGTTGGAAAACAAAATGCAATACTAATGCATAATCACTTGCTCTTAGCCCAAAGGCCCAGAAGCGATACTAATGCCCAATCAAACAGATACTTGAGACAATCCTTTGGGCAGACCATTCTCTCTTTTCAGCTTAATCACTTCCCTGCCCCCACCCTGTGTGATGAGGCACATCCTTAATTCTCCTGTATTTCACGGAATAGGCTTAAAGGTCCAAATACTCCAGATAAGACCCTCAGCTCTCCTGGTTGCTGGATTTTTCAGATTCTAGGATAGGGCTTCCAATCCAGTAATTCCCAAGTCTAAACAGTTGTGGAGGGCTCCTTTTCCTGTAAGACACCAATGTGATTAGTTGTCTTAGAAAATTGAAGTTACACTCAAATCCCTGTCCTTTGAACTACCATTTCACAAATGGGACTGAGGAAATAAAATGATCTGTTCTAGCAAACTCAACTGACTAGGGAGGAAATATATCGCCTAAAAATAGCAGGTCTGTCAATATTATTCTTATGTTTCACCATCTGCACTTCAATAACTTGATGTTAATCAGATCTTGTTTGGGACAACAGCCCCCCTTCTGAGCCCTTTAGCTCTTTAAAAGGACTTGTGATCCACTCATTTACAGCCACCTCCCGGGCTTCCCTGCAGAGGTCTTTGACATGACAATGTTTCTTTTTTGATAAGCATTCAAATGTACACCTAAACAAAAAAAATACCAACACGCTTGGTCATTTCCTTAATCCGCCACCCCTTTCTCTGAGAAAATACTGCTTGTCTGTTTGAAGCTAGGACCAGCACTTAGCAGCCCTGATGGATGTCTTCCTGGATGAAGTGGCTATTTTGACATACATAGAATGCTGTTCTATGAATCAGGCCAATATTAGCTATTTTTTGACCAACCCCAGGGATCTTTAAAAGCTTTCTTAATGCAGATCACTATACAGCTATATTCAGTATTAGGGAGAATCCTGGCGGGAGATCGGGGACAAAATAGATGACCTCTGGAGGGCCCTTCCAGCAAAGCAAACACTACAGAAACAATCCACTGACCTGTGCATCTTTCACTTGGGGACTAGCTTTGGGAGAGAGGGAGCTGGGTTCTAAGAAAGCCAACAAAGTCTCTGGAGGGACAGCGAGGGTGTTTATACAGAAAAAGCAGATGGGGCATTATGAAATACATCCTGGCAGCATAGATATTGAGCCCCTGTGGGTCCTTGACTGAACATCCTCTTCTTCATTGTTCAGAGCCTTGTGTTATTTTGAGCCAGGTCTTCCATGAAGTAGGAAGATGATGGTACAAACTGGGTGATGGTGAAACTGCTCAAACAATCCCATGTCTATTTTACAAGATTTCAGACTAAATGTGCTCATTCACCCTCTGGCGAGCCATAAAGCGTGAATACACAGCAGACAATTCTGGCTGTGGTAGAATTAACTATTCAACATTCCTTTGTCTGTACATAATGGCCGTGTGTCTAATTTTCGGGAGTCGGGCTGGTTGGGCTTGGGGATGAAGAGAGAAGACATTTAATCACATATCAAATTTTCACTATTTGAGTGCGAACAAACGAGGGACTTGCTATTGTAAAAACTTAAAGCCATGTCAGTTGGATTCGCAAAAGATTAATTAGGCATGCTTTCGTCTGTCTCAGTCTCGTATGTGGTGAGGTCCAAGACAAGGCGAGGTTGGGTCTGATGATCATGTCATCAGAATACAGGGGCAGGCTCAGGAGGGCTGCATAAGCTCTGGAGTTATTAATTATTTCTTATGGCCCAAGAAATGTTCTATATTTGCCGAATATTGAATTTAAAGACCTCAGGATCTAATCAGGTTCAGAGAGATGGTTAGTCTGACCACAGACCTCTCAGCAAGAAAAATGTCCATTGTTAAAACTTTATTTGTGGTTTTAAAGTGAAACCATGGTGCACATACCTCACAAATGATGATAAATCTTCACCTAACTAGAAATCAAGATTTTCATGGTTTTGACCTCTGGCATATATAGTTCTCAGGCATGAATATGTAACAATATACAAAACCTATTTGAACATCTCATTTATAACTGTTTATGTCATAAACAGTTATGCTATTCATCACCAATATATTTTCAGGAGAAAACTTAACTACAGAAATAGACTGAGAGGAAAGCAGTCCCAAGTACTGATATGAAAGGCAGGTCTATTACTTAGATTGTCAAGTTTAAATGCTGTTCCTTCTATTTCTTGATATTGTTTGGAAAGAGCCAGTGAGTGCTCACCTGGGCTTGTAATGGCCAAGAGAGCTGGCCACTCACTAGATTTTATTTAGCACATCTCATTCTTCGATACATTTTGAAGGTTTGAAGCTTATACATTTGGGGCAGGGTGGTGGTGGGATGTTGCTAAGGAAACAACAAGAACAACAACAAAATTATAAAAGCAAAGTTGCAAGGAACTGGAAGGGCCAGGCCAGTCAAGCTTCTGTTTCTTTGGCTCATGTTAAATCTCTCTCTGACCCTTCTTGGAAACTCTTACATTCCCTCCACCCAGGCATTGCCTGTAGGATGATAGCAATGATTGCTTTTCTCCAAGGACAATAACTTGGAGCCAGATCCACTGCTTGTAAAACCTCAAATGCAACAACTAGTAGGAGAGGAGAATAAGGATAGGTTGAGACTTTGTTTCACCCTATAGATTTCTCCACCCCACTCTGCTTTTCTGAGCTACTCTTGGCTGAATTACTTCACTGCCCAGGAATTGGATCTCTGTCTCAGTTAGGCGGTTTCTGCTGTATTTCCTTCTGAGTGCTACAAAGTACTTGAGACAAGTCTGGTCAACTTGGCTTATAAGGAGCATTCTGGCTACTTCTTCCACAATAGGTCTGGTTGTTCTTCTCTCGGTTCATAGTATATTATTATCCATTGCCAACACCATAATTCAAATGCACCGTCTTCTTTATTCATTATCCAGTTTCACATACATATGAAGTGATTATAAAGACTGTAGCTGATGTGAATCAGGTGCACCTTAATCCTCAAAGTGACATCCTTGGCCCCTTCAACACTGTAGAGCGGCTTTATGCAGCAGATTTGCCTGCTGCAATATGTCCTTTGATTTCTTGAGGACTTCAGTGTGCTATGCTTGTGGATTCCAGGAAAGGAAGTCATCGACAACTTCAATCTTTTCAGCTCAAAATGAGAAGGAACAGCTGTAAACGCTCATTATCACCCTCATATTTACCCACAATTGTGTACTATTTTTACTGAGGGCTTCATTTTTAATTAAAAATTCTTTTCTTTTTCTTCAGAAAGTTCTCCTCACCAACTTGTCTCTGGGGCTAAGGCTGGAATGGGGAAAGTGGCCAGAGATAGATCCCAACGGAGAGAGCATCACGAGGCATTCCGCCTGGGGTGCAGATGTCTTCTCCATGGTCACTTGCTGGGGGTTCCTGTTGTCGTTAATATGCGGTCAAGTCAGTTCAGACTCGTCGTCTGGTCTTGTGCCATCCTCACAATTGCTCTTTAGGTCTGAGGCCATTGTTACAGCCACTGTGTCAATCTTGTCAAGGCCCTTGCTCTTTTTTACAGTCCCCTCATTTTACCAAGCCTGATGTCCTTTTCCAGTGACTGGTCTCTCCTGACAATATATCCACAGCATGTGAGGTGAAATCTCACCATCCTTGCTTCCAAAGACCATTCTGGCTGTATTTTCTCCAAGTCAGACCTGCTTATTCTTTTATAGTCCATGGTACTTTCAATATTCTTCGCCAGCACCACAATTCAAACGTATCAACTCTTCTTTGGTCTTCCTTATTCAATGTCCAAGTTTCATATGCCTATGAGGAGATTGAAAATACCATGCCTTGAGTCAGGCACACCTTAATCCTCACGGTAACATCCTTGCGTTGAACACTTTAAAGTCATCTTATACAGCAGATCTACCCAACAAAATGTGTCACTTGACTGCTGCTTCTGTGAACATTGACTGTGAGTCCCATCAAGGATTTTGTCTTGATATTACCAACGGTCCAGTTGTGAGGATTCTGGTTTTATTTAATTTGTTTTGGTGTGAGGATTCTGGTTTTCTTTACATTGAGTTGTAACCCCTACTGAAGGCTGCAATCCTTGATCTTCTTCAGCAAGTGCTTTGCATCTTCCTCACTTTCAGCAGGCAAGGTTGTGTCTACATATCGTAGGTTGTTAGTAAACCTTCTCTAGTCCTG